TTACCCGGATATTTGTTGGATGTCAAACTCAGCCAAGAGCATAAGGTCAAACAGATTCCTCAATGGCCTTGCAGACAACTTCATTGTCCAGAAAGTGGGAGAAGCAACAAGAGGAACAGCCATTTTAGATCTGGTCCTAACCAATGTTGATGACCTGGTTAGTGGGGTAGAAGTGGAAAGATCATTAGGCGCGAGTGATCATGCTCTTCTGAAGTTTACTATACAGCGGAAAGGAGCAGCCAAGCATACTAGGACTCAATTTCTTGACTTTAAGAAAGCCGACTTCATAAAACTTAGGGAAGTGCTGGGTGAGATCCCATGGACAGTAATACTAAAAGGAAAGGGAGTTCATGATGGCTGGGAGTTTGTTAAGAGGGAGATAGTAAAAGCACAACGTCAGGCAATACCAATGAGACGGAAACATGGAAGGTGCCTAAAGAAACCAGGGTGGCTATCTAAAGAACTTTTAACTGAGTTAAGATTAAAAAGGATGTGTACAAAAATGGAAAAGGGGGAAACCACCAAAGAGGAATTCAAACAAATAGCCAGCACGTGTAGACACAAAGTCAGAAAAGCTAAAGCACAGAATGAACTCAGGCTTGCTAGAGAGGTTAAAAGCAACAAAAAAGGCTTTTATGGGTTTGTTCAGTAGCAAAAGGAAGAACAAAGAAACAGTGGGGTCACTCAGAGGAAAAGATGGTGAAATGCAAACAGGGGACACAGAAAGGGCTGAACTCCTCAATGCCTTCTTTGCCTCAGTCTTCTCCGATAAAGAAAACAATGCCCGACCTGAAGAATTTGGAGCAAATGATTCAGCAGAGGAAACACAGCCCAGAATAACTAAGGAGATAGTACAAGAATACTTGGCTAGTTTAGATGTAGTCAAGTCTCCAGGGCCAGATGAACTGCATCCAAGAGTATTAAAAGAACTGGCAGATGTGATCTCAGAACCACTGGCAGTCATCTTTGAGAATTCCTGGAGAACAGATGAAGTCCCGGCAGACTGGAGGAGGGCAAATGTTGTCCCTATTTTCAAAAAGGGGAAAAGAGAGGACCCAAATAATTACCGCCCAGTCAGTCTGACATCAATACCAGGGAGATTCTGGAGCAGATCATTAAGCAAACAGTCTGTGAGCACCTAGAAAGGAATGCTGTGATCACCAATAGTCAGCATGGATTTCTGAAAAATAAGTCATGTCAGACTAACCTGATCTCGTTTTTGACAGAATTACAAGCCTGGTAGATGAAGGGAACGCAGTGGATGTAGCCTACCTTGATTTCAGCAAGGCATTTGACAAGGTGCCCCATGATATTCTTGTAAAGAAGCTGGTAAAATGCGGTCTTGACTATGCTACCACTCAGTGGATTTGTAACTGGCTGACTGACCGAACCCAAAGGGTGCTCATCAATGGTTCCTCTTCATCCTGGAGAAGAGTGACTAGTGGGGTGCCACAGGGTTCTGTCTTGGGCCCGGTCTTATTCAACATCTTTATCAACGACTTGGATGATGGACTCAAGGGCATCCTGATCAAATTTGCAGATGACACCAAACTGGGAGGGGTGGCTAACACCCCAGAGGACAGGATCACACTTCAAAACGACCTTGACAGATTAGAGAACTGGGCCAAAACAAACAAGATGAATTTTACAGGAGAAATGTAAAGTATTGCACTTGGGCAAAAAAAGAGAGGCACAAATACAAGATGGGGACACCTGGCTTGAGATCAGTACATGTGAAAAGGATCTAGGAGTCTTGGTTGACCACAAACTTGACATGAGCCAACACTGTGACGCGGCAGCTAAAAAAGCCAATGCAATTCTGGGCTGCATCAATAGGAGTATAGCATCTAGATCAAGGGAAGTAATAGTGCCACTGTATTCTGCTCTGGTCAGACCTCACCTGGAGTACTGTGTCCAGTTCTGGGCACCACAGTTCAAGAAGGACACTGACAAACTGGAACGTGTCCAGAGGAGGGCAACCAAAATGGTCAAAGGCCTGGAAACGATGCCTTATGAGGAAGCTGGGCATGTTTAGCCTGGAGAAGAGGAGGTTAAGGGGTGATATGATAGCCATGTTCAAATATAGAAAAGGATGTCACATAGAGGAGGGAGAAAGGTTGTTTTCTGCTGCTCCAGAGAAGCGGACACGGAGCAATGGATCCAAACGACAAGAAAGAAGATTCCACCTAAACATTAGGAAGAACTTCCTGACAGTAAGAGCTGTTCAACAGTGGAATTTGCTGCCAAGGAGTGTGGAGTCTCCTTCTTTGGAGGTCTTTAAGCAGAGGCTTGACAACCATATGTCAGGAGTGCTCTGATGGTGTTTCCTGCTTGGCAGGGGGTTGGACTCGATGGCCCTTGTGGTCTCTTCCAACTCTATGATTCTATGATTCTATGAAGTGAACGGAAATATCTGGTTGGCGTGAAGCTTTATGGTGTGGTTGTCATGTCTGGGACATCATGTATACTGTCCTTTTGTATTTTTATTTCCCTCTGAACTGCCCGGTCCTCAGTGAGCCTGACTCTTGCCTTTAATATATAACTGTAATTTATTTATCTCACAACTAACCTGCAGCTGTTATAAAATGTTATAAATTGATATACATTACATCTCCTCATACTGTAAAACCCTAACCCGTTTAGGGCTTTAAAAGTCAGACCAACACTTTGAATTGTTTTACTTCCTTTGCCATATAGCACAGGGTTATTTACATCTGTCTTGTTTGAGTCCTTAATGTCTATTTTTCTCTTCTCTCACCCATCCCACCAAAAGTAGCAGGGGATCAGAGATCTGAACTAAGAAATCGGGGGTGTAGCACGTTGTAGCAGTGTACCTATGGCCCTGGTTTTGAGGTGGCACTGGCGTGGGGCGCCTGGGTCGTGCCCAGGGCCATAAGTAGGGGGTGGTGAGGAAGGGCCCCGTCAAGGGCTTAGGCGAGGGGGCCCCGCAAAATCTGTTCCGTGCGGCACCAGAGGCCGCCCCCTCGATCGGGAGAACTTGCGCGCGTGGCGGGCGCCTCTTCTTGCTGTTTGAGCAGCCAGCGAAGGAATGAGTGGGTAGGAGGGGGCGCGTGAGGGAGGGAGAGAAGCAAGCAAGGAAGGTGGGTGTCCTCTCGGGGTGGAGCTACCGGAGCCGGGGAAAGGGGGTCGGTAAGGGAGGCCAGGCACCACCCGAGCGCGTTCCAGAGCACGCTCCAGACCCTGTTGGAAGGATACGGAGGGGCAGCGTATAATACCATCCCCGCCCTATTTGCAGTTGGGGGAGCAGCCTCTCTCGAAGTCCTAAGCGGGAGCCCCAGAGTGGAAAGATATAATTTTTGAAATCAGAATTATCAGAGTGCCTCTGGGCATGTGTAGATTGTTCCTCCCGAAGCAGAAAGAGGTCTGTCTCCCGTTTTAGGAGAAGGGCTAACGGTTCCGTCTGGGGTAAAGGTGGCGGTGAGGGAATGTGTGTGTAGAGGCGGAGCTAGCTGTTCCTGCAGCCGGAGCGGCGCACGTGTTGTGCACGAGGGGGCGGCGGGGGGGGAGGGCGGGCACTGCCCGCGGCGATGTCACACCTCCCCATGACTGGGCGCGAAAACCCCACCTTACCCCACTTCCTCCGACACTGTGTGTGTGGCTCCCCACCACCTGGTAGCCTAGGGACCTCGTCTTCCTCGGAAGAAAGAAGAGAGACCGAAAGAAGAGGCAACTTGTCCGTGGCTAGGGGGCGGAATCTGGAAGGTTCTGCCAGGGGTGCAAGATTACCTGGCTGCGGCTCTGGGTACACACCAAGTGCTGCGTCCACTGGCCGGGCTTCCGGCTGCGGGGCGGGCAGCTGGGTGGGGCAGCATGGCCCTGCTTGGCTCCGGTGCGGGGTAGGGTCGCTCTCGCCCTGTTGGCGGCGAGGGTTGGGGTGCTGCAGCAGGATCCTTCACCCTCTGTACTCCGAGTCCAGCCCTCTGGTTCTCACGTCTGCTCGTCTCCTCGCGCGTCCGGGAGACTGGAAGGACTGAGACACAGCTGTGCTGGGCAGCGCACAGGTATGGAGGGTGCTCTTAACTTCAGAATAATAGGCAAGGTGAGGGTGGGGAGAGAATAAAGTGTTTCTGCTGGAGGAGCATAAAGCAAGGGGAAAGCGAAACTGATTTGGACCTATGGAGAATGGTGAACGGGAAGCCCAGGCCAATCTCAGATTGTTTTTGTACTTCAATGGCGGCCTCTGGAGGCTGTAACAGGCAAGATTCCTGGCAAATCCCTTATTTCCGGCGCTAATGGTTCCTCGTGGCCCTTCTGAGAAGTAGAGAGCCCTCGGGTTCTGTCCTGGGCCCACTGTTCAATGTTTGCATAAACCACTTGGATGAAGGAATGGATGGCATGCTCGTTCAATTCGCATCTGCATCTGTAGTTTGGTTAAACATGCTGTAACAATAAATACAATACATAACAATAGGGTTAGTGAGGGGCTAGGCTCAGAGTTAGGCCTCAGTGTTAGGGGTTAGGGCCAGGCCAGCTTGGGGCCAGGGCTGGCTAGCGGCCAGGCCAGGGCTAGGCCAGGTTAGGTCAGGTCAGGTCATGTGAGGCCAGAGGCTGATGGCCAGGCTTAGGTCAGGCCAGGCCAGGCCAGGCCAGGCCTCAGGCTCTAGGCCAGGCTAGGCCAGGCCAGGCCATGGCTAGGCCAGGCTGAGGCCAGGCCAGGCTCAGTGCCAGGCCTAGGGCCAGCCAGGCCAGGCCAGGCCAGGCCAGGCTGGGCCAGGCCTGCCAGGCACAGGCCAGGCCAGGCCAGCGCCCAGGCCAGGCCAGGCCTAGGCCTCAGGCCTAGGGCCCAGGTCAGGCCAGGCCAGGCTAGGCCAGGCCAGGCCAGGCTCAGGCCAGGTCCAGGCTAGGCCAGGCCAGGCCAGGGCTCAGGCCAGCAGGCCCAGGCCCAGGCCCAGGCCCAGGCCCAGGCCCAGGCCCAGGCCCAGGCCCAGGCCCAGGCCCAGGCCCAGGCCCAGGCCCAGGCCCAGGCCCAGGCCCAGGGCCCAGGCCCAGGCCCAGGCCCAGGCCCAGGGCCCAGGCCCAGGGCCCAGGCCCAGGCCCAGGCCCAGGCCCAGGCCCAGGGCCCAGGCCCAGGCCCAGGCCCAGGGCCCAGGCCCAGGCCCAGGCCCAGGCCCAGGCCCAGGCCCAGGCCCAGGCCCAGGGCCCAGGCCCAGGGCCCAGGCCCAGGCCCAGGCCCAGGGCCCAGGCCCAGGCCCAGGGCCCAGGCCCAGGCCCAGGCCCAGGCCCAGGCCCAGGGCCCAGGCCCAGGCCCAGGCCCAGGCCCAGGCCCAGGCCCAGGCCCAGGGCCCAGGCCCAGGCCCAGGCCCAGGCCCAGGCCCAGGCCCAGGCCCAGGGCCCAGGCCCAGGCCCAGGGCCCAGGCCCAGGCCCAGGCCCAGGCCCAGGCCCAGGCCCAGGCCCAGGCCCAGGCCCAGGGCCCAGGCCCAGGCCCAGGCCCAGGCCCAGGCCCAGGCCCAGGCCCAGGCCCAGGCCCAGGCCCAGGGCCCAGGCCCAGGCCCAGGCCCAGGCCCAGGCCCAGGCCCAGGCCCAGGGCCCAGGCCCAGGCCCAGGCCCAGGCCCAGGCCCAGGCCCAGGCCCAGGCCCAGGCCCAGGCCCAGGCCCAGGCCCAGGCCCAGGCCCAGGCCCAGGCCCAGGCCCAGGCCCAGGCCCAGGCCCAGGCCCAGGGCCCAGGCCCAGGCCCAGGCCCAGGCCCAGGCCCAGGCCCAGGCCCAGGCCCAGGCCCAGGGCCCAGGCCCAGGCCCAGGCCCAGGCCCAGGCCCAGGCCCAGGCCCAGGCCCAGGCCCAGGCCCAGGCCCAGGCCCAGGCCCAGGCCCAGGCCCAGGCCCAGGCCCAGGCCCAGGCCCAGGGCCCAGGCCCAGGGCCCAGGCCCAGGCCCAGGCCCAGGCCCAGGCCCAGGCCCAGGCCCAGGCCCAGGCCCAGGCCCAGGCCCAGGCCCAGGCCCAGGCCCAGGCCCAGGCCCAGGCCCAGGCCCAGGCCCAGGCCCAGGCCCAGGGCCCAGGCCCAGGCCCAGGCCCAGGCCCAGGCCCAGGCCCAGGCCCAGGCCCAGGCCCAGGGCCCAGGCCCAGGCCCAGGCCCAGGCCCAGGCCCAGGCCCAGGCCCAGGCCTAGGCCCAGGCCCAGGCCCAGGCCCAGGCACAGGCCCAGGCCCAGGCCCAGGCCCAGGCCCAGGCCCAGGCCCAGGCCCAGGCCCAGGGCCCAGGCCCAGGCCCAGGCCCAGGGCCCAGGCCCAGGCCCAGGCCCAGGCCCAGGCCCAGGCCCAGGCCCAGGGCCCAGGCCCAGGCCCAGGCCCAGGCCCAGGCCCAGGCCCAGGCCCAGGGCCCAGGCCCAGGCCCAGGCCCAGGCCCAGGCCCAGGCCCAGGCCCAGGCCCAGGCCCAGGCCCAGGCCCAGGCCCAGGCCCAGGCCCAGGCCCAGGCCCAGGCCCAGGCCCAGGCCCAGGCCCAGGCCCAGGCCCAGGCCCAGGCCCAGGCCCAGGCCCAGGCCCAGGCCCAGGCCCAGGCCCAGGCCCAGGCCCAGGCCCAGGCCCAGGCCCAGGCCCAGGCCCAGGCCCAGGCCCAGGCCCAGGCCCAGGCCCAGGGCCCAGGCCCAGGCCCAGGCCCAGGCCCAGGCCCAGGCCCAGGGCCCAGGCCCAGGGCCCAGGCCCAGGCCCAGGCCCAGGCCCAGGCCCAGGCCCAGGCCCAGGCCCAGGCCCAGGGCCCAGGCCCAGGCCCAGGCCCAGGCCCAGGGCCCAGGCCCAGGGCCCAGGCCCAGGCCCAGGCCCAGGCCCAGGCCCAGGCCCAGGCCCAGGGCCCAGGCCCAGGCCCAGGCCCAGGCCCAGGCCCAGGGCCCAGGCCCAGGCCCAGGCCCAGGGCCCAGGCCCAGGCCCAGGCCCAGGCCCAGGGCCCAGGCCCAGGCCCAGGCCCAGGCCCAGGCCCAGGCCCAGGCCCAGGCCCAGGCCCAGGCCCAGGCCCAGGCCCAGGGCCCAGGCCCAGGGCCCAGGCCCAGGCCCAGGCCCAGGCCCAGGCCCAGGCCCAGGCCCAGGCCCAGGCCCAGGCCCAGGCCCAGGCCCAGGCCCAGGCCCAGGCCCAGGCCCAGGCCCAGGCCCAGGCCCAGGCCCAGGCCCAGGCCCAGGCCCAGGGCCCAGGCCCAGGCCCAGGCCCAGGCCCAGGCCCAGGCCCAGGCCCAGGCCCAGGCCCAGGCCCAGGCCCAGGGCCCAGGCCCAGGCCCAGGCCCAGGCCCAGGCCCAGGCCCAGGCCCAGGCCCAGGCCCAGGCCCAGGCCCAGGCCCAGGCCCAGGCCCAGGCCCAGGCCCAGGCCCAGGCCCAGGCCCAGGCCCAGGCCCAGGCCCAGGCCCAGGCCCAGGCCCAGGCCCAGGCCCAGGCCCAGGCCCAGGCCCAGGCCCAGGCCCAGGGCCCAGGCCCAGGCCCAGGCCCAGGCCCAGGCCCAGGCCCAGGCCCAGGCCCAGGCCCAGGCCCAGGCCCAGGCCCAGGCCCAGGCCCAGGCCCAGGCCCAGGCCCAGGGCCCAGGCCCAGGCCCAGGCCCAGGCCCAGGCCCAGGCCCAGGGCCCAGGCCCAGGCCCAGGCCCAGGCCCAGGCCCAGGCCCAGGCCCAGGCCCAGGCCCAGGCCCAGGCCCAGGCCCAGGCCCAGGCCCAGGCCCAGGCCCAGGCCCAGGCCCAGGCCCAGGGCCCAGGCCCAGGCCCAGGCCCAGGCCCAGGCCCAGGCCCAGGGCCCAGGCCCAGGCCCAGGCCCAGGCCCAGGCCCAGGCCCAGGCCCAGGCCCAGGCCCAGGCCCAGGCCCAGGCCCAGGCCCAGGCCCAGGCCCAGGGCCCAGGCCCAGGCCCAGGCCCAGGCCCAGGCCCAGGCCCAGGCCCAGGCCCAGGCCCAGGCCCAGGCCCAGGGCCCAGGCCCAGGCCCAGGCCCAGGCCCAGGCCCAGGCCCAGGGCCCAGGCCCAGGCCCAGGCCCAGGCCCAGGCCCAGGCCCAGGCCCAGGCCCAGGCCCAGGCCCAGGCCCAGGCCCAGGCCCAGGCCCAGGGCCCAGGCCCAGGCCCAGGCCCAGGCCCAGGCCCAGGGCCCAGGCCCAGGCCCAGGCCCAGGCCCAGGCCCAGGGCCCAGGCCCAGGCCCAGGCCCAGGCCCAGGCCCAGGCCCAGGCCCAGGCCCAGGCCCAGGCCCAGGCCCAGGCCCAGGCCCAGGCCCAGGCCCAGGCCCAGGCCCAGGCCCAGGCCCAGGCCCAGGCCCAGGCCCAGGCCCAGGCCCAGGCCCAGGCCCAGGCCCAGGCCCAGGCCCAGGCCCAGGCCCAGGCCCAGGCCCAGGCCCAGGCCCAGGCCCAGGCCCAGGCCCAGGCCCAGGCCCAGGCCCAGGCCCAGGCCCAGGCCCAGGCCCAGGCCCAGGCCCAGGCCCAGGCCCAGGCCCAGGCCCAGGGCCCAGGCCCAGGCCCAGGCCCAGGCCCAGGCCCAGGCCCAGGCCCAGGCCCAGGCCCAGGCCCAGGCCCAGGCCCAGGGCCCAGGCCCAGGCCCAGGCCCAGGCCCAGGCCCAGGCCCAGGCCCAGGCCCAGGCCCAGGCCCAGGCCCAGGCCCAGGCCCAGGCCCAGGCCCAGGCCCAGGCCCAGGCCCAGGCCCAGGCCCAGGCCCAGGCCCAGGCCCAGGCCCAGGCCCAGGCCCAGGCCCAGGCCCAGGCCCAGGCCCAGGCCCAGGCCCAGGCCCAGGCCCAGGCCCAGGCCCAGGCCCAGGCCCAGGCCCAGGCCCAGGCCCAGGCCCAGGCCCAGGCCCAGGCCCAGGCCCAGGCCCAGGCCCAGGCCCAGGCCCAGGCCCAGGCCCAGGCCCAGGCCCAGGCCCAGGCCCAGGCCCAGGCCCAGGCCCAGGCCCAGGCCCAGGCCCAGGCCCAGGCCCAGGCCCAGGCCCAGGCCCAGGCCCAGGCCCAGGCCCAGGCCCAGGCCCAGGCCCAGGCCCAGGCCCAGGCCCAGGCCCAGGCCCAGGCCCAGGGCCCAGGCCCAGGCCCAGGCCCAGGCCCAGGCCCAGGCCCAGGCCCAGGCCCAGGCCCAGGCCCAGGCCCAGGGCCCAGGCCCAGGCCCAGGCCCAGGCCCAGGCCCAGGCCCAGGCCCAGGCCCAGGCCCAGGCCCAGGCCCAGGCCCAGGCCCAGGCCCAGGCCCAGGCCCAGGCCCAGGCCCAGGCCCAGGCCCAGGCCCAGGCCCAGGCCCAGGCCCAGGCCCAGGCCCAGGCCCAGGCCCAGGCCCAGGCCCAGGCCCAGGCCCAGGCCCAGGCCCAGGCCCAGGCCCAGGCCCAGGCCCAGGCCCAGGCCCAGGCCCAGGCCCAGGCCCAGGCCCAGGCCCAGGCCCAGGCCCAGGCCCAGGCCCAGGCCCAGGCCCAGGCCCAGGCCCAGGCCCAGGCCCAGGCCCAGGCCCAGGCCCAGGCCCAGGCCCAGGCCCAGGCCCAGGCCCAGGCCCAGGCCCAGGCCCAGGCCCAGGCCCAGGCCCAGGCCCAGGCCCAGGCCCAGGCCCAGGCCCAGGCCCAGGCCCAGGCCCAGGCCCAGGCCCAGGCCCAGGCCCAGGCCCAGGCCCAGGCCCAGGCCCAGGCCCAGGCCCAGGCCCAGGCCCAGGCCCAGGCCCAGGCCCAGGGCCCAGGCCCAGGCCCAGGGCCCAGGCCCAGGGCCCAGGCCCAGGCCCAGGCCCAGGCCCAGGCCCAGGCCCAGGCCCAGGCCCAGGCCCAGGCCCAGGCCCAGGCCCAGGCCCAGGCCCAGGCCCAGGCCCAGGCCCAGGCCCAGGCCCAGGCCCAGGCCCAGGCCCAGGCCCAGGCCCAGGCCCAGGGCCCAGGCCCAGGCCCAGGCCCAGGCCCAGGCCCAGGCCCAGGCCCAGGCCCAGGCCCAGGCCCAGGCCCAGGCCCAGGGCCCAGGCCCAGGCCCAGGCCCAGGGCCCAGGCCCAGGCCCAGGCCCAGGCCCAGGCCCAGGCCCAGGCCCAGGCCCAGGCCCAGGCCCAGGCCCAGGCCCAGGCCCAGGCTCAGACCCAGGCCAAGGCCCAGGCCCAGGCCCAGGCCCAGGCCCAGGCCCAGGCCCAGGCCCAGGGCCCAGGCCCAGGCCCAGGCCCAGGCCCAGGCCCAGGCCCAGGCCCAGGCCCAGGCCCAGGGCCCAGGCCCAGGCCCAGGCCCAGGCCCAGGCCCAGGCCCAGGCCCAGGCCCAGGCCCAGGCCCAGGCCCAGGCCCAGGCCCAGGCCCAGGCCCAGGCCCAGGCCCAGGCCCAGGCCCAGGCCCAGGCCCAGGCCCAGGCCCAGGCCCAGGCCCAGGCCCAGGCCCAGGCCCAGGCCCAGGCCCAGGCCCAGGCCCAGGCCCAGGCCCAGGCCCAGGCCCAGGCCCAGGCCCAGGCCCAGGCCCAGGCCCAGGCCCAGGCCCAGGCCCAGGCCCAGGGCCCAGGCCCAGGCCCAGGCCCAGGCCCAGGCCCAGGCCCAGGCCCAGGCCCAGGCCCAGGCCCAGGCCCAGGCCCAGGCCCAGGCCCAGGCCCAGGCCCAGGCCCAGGCCCAGGCCCAGGCCCAGGCCCAGGCCCAGGCCCAGGCCCAGGCCCAGGCCCAGGCCCAGGCCCAGGCCCAGGCCCAGGCCCAGGCCCAGGCCCAGGCCCAGGCCCAGGCCCAGGGCCCAGGCCCAGGCCCAGGCCCAGGCTCAGGCCCAGGTCAAGGCCCAGGCCCAGGCCCAGGCCCAGGCCCAGGCCCAGGCCCAGGCCCAGGCCCAGGGCCCAGGCCCAGGCCCAGGCCCAGGCCCAGGCCCAGGCCCAGGCCCAGGCCCAGGCCCAGGCCCAGGCCCAGGGCCCAGGCCCAGGCCCAGGCCCAGGCCCAGGCCCAGGCCCAGGCCCAGGCCCAGGCCCAGGCCCAGGCCCAGGGCCCAGGCCCAGGCCCAGGCCCAGGCCCAGGCCCAGGCCCAGGCCCAGGGCCCAGGCCCAGGCCCAGGTCCAGGCCCAGGCCCCGGCCCAGGCCCAGGCCCAGGCCCAGGCCCAGGCCCAGGCCCAGGCCCAGGCCCAGGCCCAGGCCCAGGCCCAGGCCCAGGGCCCAGGCCCAGGCCCAGGCCCAGGCCCAGGCCCAGGCCCAGGCCCAGGCCCAGGCCCAGGCCCAGGCCCAGGCCCAGGCCCAGGCCCAGGCCCAGGCCCAGGCCCAGGCCCAGGCCCAGGCCCAGGCCCAGGGCCCAGGCCCAGGCCCAGGCCCAGGCCCAGGCCCAGGCCCAGGCCCAGGCCCAGGCCCAGGCCCAGGCCCAGGCCCAGGCCCAGGCCCAGGCCCAGGCCCAGGCCCAGGCCCAGGCCCAGGCCCAGGCCCAGGCCCAGGCCCAGGCCCAGGCCCAGGCCCAGGCCCAGGCCCAGGCCCAGGCCCAGGCCCAGGCCCAGGCCCAGGCCCAGGCCCAGGCCCAGGCCCAGGCCCAGGCCCAGGCCCAGGCCCAGGCCCAGGCCCAGGCCCAGGCCCAGGCCCAGGCCCAGGCCCAGGGCCCAGGCCCAGGCCCAGGCCCAGGCCCAGGCCCAGGCCCAGGCCCAGGCCCAGGCCCAGGCCCAGGCCCAGGCCCAGGCCCAGGCCCAGGCCCAGGCCCAGGCCCAGGCCCAGGCCCAGGCCCGGGCCCAAGCCCAGGCCCAGGCCCAGGCCCAGGCCAGGCCAGGCCAGGCTAGGCCAGGCCAGGGCCAGGCCAGGCCAGGCCAGGCTGCAGGCCAGGCCAGGCCAGGCCAGTGTCAGGCCAGGCCAGGGCCAGGCTAGGCCAGGCCAGGCCAGGCCAGGCCAGGCCAGGGCCAGGCCAGGCCAGGCCAGGCCAGGCCAGGCCAGGCCAGGCTGAGGCCAGGCCAGGCCAGGCCAGGCCAGGCCAGGCCAGGCCAGGCCAGGCCAGGCCAGGGCCAGGCCAGGCCAGGCCAGGCCAGGCCAGGCCAGGCCAGGCCAGGGCCAGGCCAGGCCAGGGCCAGGCCAGGCCAGGGCCAGGCCAGGCCAGGCCAGGGCCAGGCCAGGCCAGGCCAGGCCAGGCCAGGCCAGGCCAGGCCAGGCCAGGCCAGGCCAGGCCAGGCCAGGCCAGGCCAGGGCCAGGCCAGGCCAGGCCAGGCCAGGCCAGGCCAGGCCAGGGCCAGGCCAGGGCCAGGCCAGGCCAGGCCAGGCCAGGCCAGGCCAGGGCCAGGCCAGGCCAGGCCAGGCCAGGCCAGGCCAGGCCAGGGCCAGGCCAGGCCAGGCCAGGGCCAGGCCAGGCCAGGCCAGGGCCAGGGGCCAGGCCAGGCCAGGCCAGGCCAGGCCAGGCCAGGCCAGGCCAGGCCAGGCCAGGCCAGGCCAGGCCAGGCCAGGCCAGGCCAGGCCAGGCCAGGCCAGGCCAGGCCAGGCCAGGCCAGGCCAGGCCAGGCCAGGCCAGGCCAGGCCAGGCCAGGCCAGGCCAGGCTCAGGCCAGGGCCAGGCCAGGCCAGGCCAGGCCAGGCCAGGCCAGGCCAGGCCAGGCCAGGCCAGGCCAGGCCAGGCCAGGCCAGGCCAGGCCAGGCCAGGCCAGGCCAGGCCAGGCCAGGCCAGGCCAGGCCAGGCCAGGCCAGGCCAGGCCAGGCCAGGCCAGGCCAGGCCAGGCCAGGGCCAGGCCAGGCCAGGCCAGGCCAGGGCCAGGCCAGGCCAGGCCAGGCCAGGCCAGGCCAGGGCCAGGCCAGGCCAGGCCAGGCCAGGCCAGGCCAGGGCCAGGCCAGGCCAGGCCAGGCTCAGGCCAGGCCAGGCCAGGCCAGGCCAGGCCAGGCCAGGCCAGGCCAGGCCAGGGCCAGGCCAGGCCAGGGCCAGGCTCAGGCCAGGCCAGGCCAGGCCAGGCCAGGCCAGGCCAGGCCAGGCCAGGGCCAGGGCCAGGCCAGGCCAGGCCAGGGCCAGGCCAGGCCAGGCCAGGCCAGGCCAGGCCAGGCCAGGCCAGGCCAGGCCAGGCCAGGCCAGGCCAGGCCAGGGCCAGGCCAGGCCAGGCCAGGCCAGGCCAGGCCAGGGCCAGGCCAGGCCAGGCCAGGCCAGGCCAGGCCAGGCCAGGCCAGGCCAGGGCCAGGCCAGGCCAGGCCAGGCCAGGCCAGGCCAGGGCCAGGCCAGGCCAGGCCAGGCCAGGCCAGGCCAGGCCAGGCCAGGGCCAGGGCCAGGCCAGGCCAGGGCCAGGCCAGGCCAGGCCAGGCCAGGGCCAGGCCAGGCCAGGCCAGGCCAGGCCAGGCCAGGCCAGGCCAGGCCAGGCCAGGCCAGGCCAGGCCAGGGCCAGGCCAGGGCCAGGCCAGGCCAGGCCAGGCCAGGCCAGGGCCAGGGCCAGGCCAGGCCAGGCCAGGCCAGGCCAGGCCAGGCCAGGCCAGGGCCAGGCCAGGCCAGGGCCAGGCCAGGCCAGGCCAGGCCAGGCCAGGCCAGGCCAGGCCAGGCCAGGCCAGGCCAGGCCAGGCCAGGCCAGGCCAGGCCAGGGCCAGGCCAGGCCAGGCCAGGCCAGGCCAGGCCAGGCCAGGGCCAGGCCAGGCCAGGCCAGGCCAGGCCAGGCCAGGCCAGGCCAGGCCAGGCCAGAGCCAGGGCCAGGCCAGGCCAGGCCAGGCCAGGCCAGGCCAGGCCAGGCCAGGCCAGGCCAGGCCAGGGCCAGGCCAGGCCAGGCCAGGCCAGGCCAGGCCAGGCCAGGCCAGGCCAGGCCAGGGCCAGGGCCAGGCCAGGCCAGGGCCAGGCCAGGCCAGGCCAGGCCAGGCCAGGCCAGGCCAGGCCAGGCCAGGCCAGGCCAGGCCAGGCCAGGCCAGGGCCAGGCCAGGCCAGGCCAGGCCAGGGCCAGGGCCAGGCCAGGCCAGGCCAGGCCAGGCCAGGCCAGGGCCAGGCCAGGGCCAGGGCCAGGGCCAGGCCAGGCCAGGCCAGGCCAGGCCAGGCCAGGCCAGGCTAGGGCCAGGCCAGGCAGCAGAGCCAGGCCAGGCCAGGCCAGGCCAGGGCCAGGCTAGGCCAGGCCAGGCCAGGCCAGGCCAGGCCAGGCCAGGCCAGGCCAGGCCAGGCCAGGCCAGGCCAGGCCAGGCCAGGGCCAGGCCAGGCCAGGCCAGGCCAGGCCAGGCCAGGCCAGGGTGCCAGGCCAGGCCAGGCCAGGCCAGGCCAGGCCAGGCCAGGCCAGGCCAGGCCAGGCCAGGCCAGAGGCCAGGCCAGGCCAGGCCAGGCCAGGCCAGGCCAGGCCAGGCCAGGCCAGGCCAGGCCAGGCCAGGCCAGGCCAGGCCAGGCCAGGCCAGGCCAGGCCAGGCCAGGCCAGGCCAGGGCCAGGCCAGGGCCAGGCCAGGCCAGGCCAGGGCCAGGCCAGGCCAGGCCAGGCCAGGCCAGGCCAGGCCAGGCTCAGGCCAGGCCAGGCCAGGCCAGGCCAGGCCAGGCCAGGCCAGGCCAGGCCAGGCCAGGCCAGGCCAGGCCAGGCCAGGCCAGGGCCAGGCCAGGCCAGGCCAGGCCAGGCCAGGCCAGGCCAGGCCAGGCCAGGCCAGGCCAGGCCAGGCCAGGCCAGGCCAGGCCAGGCCAGGCCAGGCCAGGCCAGGCCAGGCCAGGCCAGGCCAGGCCAGGCCAGGCCAGGCCAGGCCAGGCCTAGGCCAGGCCAGGCCAGGCCAGGCCAGGCCAGGCCAGGCCAGGCCAGGCCAGGCCAGGCCAGGCCAGGCCAGGGCCAGGCCAGGGCCAGGCCAAATGGCCAGGCCAGGCCAGGGCCAGGCCAGGCCAGGCCAGGCCAGGCCAGGCCAGGCCAGGCCAGGGCCAGGCCAGGCCAGGGCCAGGCCAGGCCAGGCCAGGCCAGGCCAGGGCTAGGCCAGGCCAGGCCAGGCCAGGCCAGGCCAGGCCAGGGCCAGGCCAGGCCAGGCCAGGCCAGGGCCAGGCCAGGCCAGGCCAGCTGGCCAGGCCAGGCCAGGCCAGGCCAGAGGCCAGGGCCAGGCCAGGCCAGGCCAGGCCAGGCCAGGCCAGGCCAGGCCAGGCCAGGCCAGGCCAGGCCAGGGCCAGGCCAGGCCAGGCCAGGCCAGGCCAGGGCCAGGCCAGGCCAGGCCAGGCCAGGGCCAGGCCAGGCCAGGCCAGGCCAGGCCAGGCCAGGCCAGGCCAGGCCAGGCCAGGCCAGGCCAGGCCAGGCCAGGCCAGGCCAGGCCAGGCCAGGCCAGGCCAGGCCAGGCCAGGCCAGGCCAGGCCAGGCCAGGCCAGGCCAGGCCAGGCCAGGCCAGGCCAGGCCAGGCCAGGCCAGGCCAGGCCAGGCCAGGCCAGGCCAGGGCCAGGCCAGGCCAGGCCAGGCCAGGCCAGGCCAGGCCAGGCCAGGCCAGGCCAGGCCAGGCCAGGCCAGGCCAGGCCAGGCCAGGCCAGGGCCAGGCCAGGTCAGGCCAGGCCAGGCCAGGCCAGGCCAGGCCAGGCCAGGCCAGGCCAGGCCAGGCCAGGCCAGGCCAGGGCCAGGCCAGGCCAGGCCAGGCCAGGGCCAGGCCAGGGCCAGGCCAGGCCAGGCCAGGCCAGGGCCAGGCCAGGCCAGGCCAGGCCAGGCCAGGCCGAGGCCAGGCCAGGGCCAGGGCCAGGCCAGGCCAGGCCAGGCCAGGGCCAGGCCAGGCCAGGCCAGGCCAGGCCAGGCCAGGCCAGGCCAGGCCAGGGCCAGGCCAGGCCAGGCCAGGCCAGGCCAGGCCAGGCCAGGCCAGGCCAGGCCAGGGCAGGCCAGGCCAGGCTCAGGCCAGGCCAGGCCAGGCCAGGCCAGGGCCAGG